CACCTGCAGGAAGTGATAGGAGGAGACTCCCAACCACAGATCCAGACCCCACAGCTCCAGAGCCAGGAATATCTGCAGAAAGTGTTAGGAAGAGAGAGGAGAGAGAAGGGGGACGAGAAAGCACACGACTACGGGGAAGGGAGAGAGTCCAGTTAGTAACATTGTTAATGGAATGAGGTTGCACCGGGAGGGAGAGAGAGAAAGGAAAGGGGAGCTCGGTGCATCATGATGCATCCCCCGGCAGTCTAGGCCTATAGCAGCACAACCAGGGGTGGACTTACTCTAACTATAAGCTCTATCATAAAGGAAAGTCTTAAGCCTACTCTTAAATATAGAGACGGTGTCTGCTTCCCGGACCCAAACTGGAACCTGGTTCCACAAAAGAGGACTCTGATAGCTGAACGCTCTAGCGCCCATTCTAGTTTTCAAGACTCTAGGAACTGCCAGTAACCCTTCATTCTGGGAGCGCAGTTCTCTGGTAGGGCAGTAAGGTACTAAGAGCTCTTTAAGATAAGATGGGGCCTGACCATGAAGAGCTTTGTAGGTAAGGAGAAGGATTTTAAATTCAATTCTGGATTTAACAGGAAGCCAGTGCAGAGAAGCCAAGACAGGAGAAATATGATCTCTTTTTCTGGTTCCTGTAAGAACACGTGCTGCAGCAATCCCAGATAAACCATCCCATTGCAATAAATATTATTTTAAAATAATTTTTTCTATCAAAAATGGAAGCAAACATCATCCAAATCTTATAGTCACAAAGAATGACTCAGACTTAAAAAAAAAAGCTCATAGACAACAAAATACTTAAAGTACATAACAAAAACAATGCCAAAAGTTTCTGGTACTATTTTAGTCAGATAATTTATAACCACGTGTACATGGAAAAATACTTTTTTTCAATTGGACTTCAATAAATCGGATTAGAAATATGAGATGTTAACATGACTTCTAATAAAGGAGGAGAAAATGGTCTTTTAAAAAAAAAATTAATCACAATTAATCGACCTACTCCATCAAGTGACACATTAAAGTGGACATTCACAGTTGGGTTCACTTTTCCCTGTCTAGAACCAAAGTAGGAACCTTTAGAAGAAAGAATTGCCCTTACTAAATGCCAAATGAAGGATTGCACACTGTTAAAAATATTTGTCAAGACCTTTAACAAGCCTGACCTCCTCTTGAGTTTACACATAGAATGGCGTCATAGAATACTTTTGGGTTGCTGATTTTCAAAAGTATTTCTGACTTTTTATTTTTTGCTTAAGCCAATCATCTGGTGTTACCATTATTTGAAATATAATTGCAAGGGAAAATTTGCTTGCACTTAATTTTGTTGAAGACTTTTTAATTTCAGTGTTCTAAAAATAATTTGTGCTACAACCACAGATTATTAAGGGAAAAGGACAAGTGTTATCACCAGGTGAATCATTCCAACCACATTTATTTCATGAGTAGTGTTATAGTCACATTACAATGAATTCAAAATCAGCAAGAGGAAGTGCATGAAGTGCACTGAAGAAGATTTGCTTTAATTTATTCCCTCCAATGACCAAATCAAAGGAGAGGTTTAGGAATCTGACACCTGTCACTGGCCAATTGCAACCATTGAACCCAACCCTGCCCATTAAGCTAGGTCCTCTGCGTAAAACCTTTCCACAAAGTTGAATGTCTTTGTTTATATACCACAGGTCAACAGTTTAAACACTTGACCAAGAATTTCAAACAAGTGGTTGGACTGATGGCGCATCAAAAAACATGAGTAGAAAAGTAGTATGCTGGACCCCTTAAGGAGTGATTGAATATGTTTTCATTGGGATTAATATTTCATATTGAAGAGCAAAGCCTCATTGCATGTGCACTATAGTGTTTGGAGAATAGCTTGTCTGTGGACATGTTCTTTTGCTTACTACATTGTATTGCCAAAAGATTTTGATAAACTGCCTTTATTCACATGTGGATTTAAGTGATGCCCCATTCTTAATCCATAGGGTTCAATATGGGGTCGGTCCACCCTTTGTAGCTCCAATAGCTTCAACTCTTCAGAGAGGTTGTCTTTAAGGTTTTGTAGCATCTTTTGGGTTTTTTTTAACTATAACTCCAGATTTGCCAGGTCATGGACTCCATGCAGGAAAAGTAAGGTCACTCACACCGAACTCTCTCATCCTTGTCTTTATGGACCTTACCTGTCAGGTTCATGACTGAGTTCCCATCTGCTTCCGCTTTGTGTCAATACTACCGACAGTTTACTGTGGAATATTCAAGGGGGAGAACACTTTGTGAGAGCCATCCTGTCACAGTACCACCCTGGGATTCACTGAGCTCCTAAGAGTGAGCCATTCTTTGTTTTTAGAAACTGTGTAGGCCAAGCATCTTAACTTTTTACATATGTGGCCATTGGATACCCGAGTTTGATCATTTCAATGGGCGAGTGTATATCCATCCATTGTCGGTAGCACTTATTCCCAACGGGGTTGCTGGGGGACTCTATCGCAGTATAAAACCGGCAATATAGTGCGTGTATGAATGATTATATTAAATGTGAATATACAATAGTCCATGACCACTCCCAGGCTAAATGCCGTGTGAATTTGACAGTTATCAAACTGTAATAGCAAGACAATTACGTAGGAGGACGTCCAAACCAGGAGGTATTTTGCGTTGTTTTTTTAATGCAGTAGTTGGTGGCTACCAAAAACGGTCCAAGCGAGAACAGCTGGCGACTAAGCCAAAGCATCGTGTGCCTTCAGAAATTCAAGAAAACAAATCAGAGAATTCAAAATAGATGTTTTTTTCCCATTTTTACTCATTGCAAAGAGTATTATAAAGCTCGAGGACAGAAAGACAACAAAAAAAACGAACAATAAAAAAAGGGGAAATTGCAGATTCATGGACCACAGCTCCATTACCCACAGCTATCATTAAAGCTATCCATTGGGCACCTGAACCAGGGTCAAAAGCCACGTGATATTAGTGTCTCAGCATTTTTATCTCAGCACATGGCATTTATTGCTTTAGCCAGACAAAAATGACCTCAGTCGTTGAGGCTATGTCAACCCAGTCATTTACAATAGTTTAAAAACAAGTATTACAGCACTCAACAGCAACAAAGTAATATCACTTAAAAAAAAGTTTGAAATGAAATATTACATTTAGACAAAACAGATAAATTAATATGTCTCTGACAGTGAATCAACAGACAGTTCATTCCGAGCAACACATATTTTTCATGTCAGTGTTTTCCTTCAGTGGTCCATTTTTAAATATCTTTTACAATTTTTATCACAGATGAAAAGAAACTAATCTCCAATCAGATTGTATCTGCTAAAGAATAAAAAGTACCAAATCTTAAATCAGATGATGAAATAACAGCTTTAAGTTCGAGTCTTCTTTTAAGAAGCTTAGCTTTTTCCAGTTGTTTTACTGGACGACGCAGAGTTCTGTATTGGACTGAGCCTCTTCTCTCCGGTCAACGTCGCCGTGAGTCCTGCCGTGCTCCTGTGACTCATCTGACCGCGGGTCCAGATTTTGCCTCAGCTCCATCAGCAGCTCTTTGGCATCACTTGATGGAAGGTTTCCAAGGAAGTACTGAGGTGCCAGTTCCACAAGCCTGCCGGAGAGACGCAATAATGCACTTAATAAAAAAGGAATTCTAAAGTAATTCCTACGTCTACATCCATTTTTAACTCCTACACTTACTCCACCACTGCACTACTACATCGAATAACAACAATAAGAAAGAAAGAGCTGCCATTTGAATTTAAAATGTTAAAGTAAAACCAAGCGTGTGAAGTAATCAGAAAGATCTTAAGTTCTAAAACTACCCTTATTTCAAAGCTGGAAGCAAAGTTACATCCAAAACTTTGGATATTTGGAAGCTAGTTCTTGTATTTCTGAGACACTAAAGTTGCTGTAAAGTACTGAAATGTGTAAACAAATGTTTGAATCATCTGTTGGTAATGTGCTTTAAAAATGAACACACTCAAAAGTGCCAAATTATGAATACGAAAAGCTAAATTATTACAGATAACCTGATTTCTTTTTTCTGAGTTCGTTTGATACAAACAAACATCATAGTTTGTTATGAAATGACAATATGTACAAATATGCATATTTATGACAATAGGTGATGAGATGGGACGGGGAATCAAAGTCAGTTCACCAAAAGATAATAGATTTCTGCCAAGGAAGAAGTGGTAAGAGGTGAAACCATCCTACCTCAGGCTTTGGTTTTAATCAACCAATTCCACAATGCTCGTTTTATGTAAATAATAAGACAGCAATGTGGAGCCAATATGCTTCTATTTAGCATGTGTGAATTACAAGGAGTAGCACATTAATGACAACATACTTTTTGCCTTAATAATTTGCAACCAATGTATAAAAAGAGCTTTAATAAGCCTCTTTAGCATGGCCAAAAAATGTCTGTGTATAACCTATGTTCTCCTATAATTGACACGTGGTTGATCTCCACAAATGTATGAAAAAAAAACACAAACAGGTGTTGTGTATAAGCCAGTTTGGGAGGTTTCACTCACATCTGCGGGTCGACTTCAGAAGCGATGCGGATGCAGTTATCTCGGGAGATGGTGAATTCGTGGTAGAGGACCCAACTGGGGGGGCTGGGGCCCGACGGACGACAAAGGTAAGAGGAGAACGGCTGGAGGTGAGCCACATGGCGGTGAGTTAGCAAGAGGTAGTTACCGGAGCCATCCACATCATGAGCAATCTGGGAAATAAAAGAGCCATCATGAATCCACAAATTATGAGACTGCAGGCAAAGGCAAGAAGCCCTTAACTTAACATGGAAAATAAAGCTTCTGAAGAGTTTAACTAAAGGACACCAAAGATAAAAAATGTATTTAACTGCCTCTATACAAGCCGCATGCTTACTTTGAGGAAAAAGCCGGAGAGGAGTGCACGTTTAATATTTGTGCAGTTGTCTTGGCATCCAAAAGCCGGAGGAGAAACAGGAAGCTCTATTCGCTGCATCACCTCCAGCAGCTCCCCCCTGATCACCGCAGCAAGTCGTAAGGCAGAGTGACTGAGGAAGTTTGCAATGCACCAGGCCTCATCCTGATTATCTGTAAACATATCACAAAGCCCCTTCAGTAATTCATCTACATATCAGTAGTAAGAGTAGTAAGAGAGACATTTGAACTAGTTATTATTGAAAAATGATCAAGGCGTTATGTTTCAGAACTGTATGTTGTAGATGTCAAACACATCCTAATCTAATCGGATTTTGTCAAATAAGTTCTAGAAACGAGATCAGGGTGTTCATCAGCAGCCCTCGAAAGTAGCTACCCTGCAGGTTTAAGATGTTTCCCTGTTTCAACACACCGATTCTGATTGAACGGATGGGTTCAAAGGCTCTGCGCGAGCCTGTATTGAAGCAGGGAAACTTGTCCTTGCATCTCATAACTGATACACAAACTGTGCTAACCGTGACCAACTATTTAACTTTATTGCAGTATTGTATTCCTACACCTCCTGTCTTGAGAAAACATTATTCATAGCTTGATCACATGATGTCCGGATGAGCTGGAAGTTTTGCTAATGACGGCTGAACCATACGTACGCTCCATGAACGCATTATAAATATTAATCAGAGACATATGGTCTCCATCTGTGTGCATCAGAGGTCTCCACAATGCAAGGGCCGCTTCTTCTCTTCTGGGTTCTGTCGTCATAAAGCAGGAAGGAGCTGAAGGCAGAGAGAAATTCGAAAATTAAAAATACAAAAAACAACAACAAAAAAGTTCAAAGTCATTTATGCAATCCATCACATCAATTCATACCCATAAGCATGAATTTGTCTTTGGACATTACATATTCTTCAAGCAGAGTTTTTGGTTGTTCATGTTACAACAAAAAGTTGTGACTTTATTTGTTACCTGTTAGCATAGCAGCTACGGTAAGAAGCTCATCGACACAGTCGTACTCGCATGCAGCAATCAGCGCTTTGGCCAGCGGAGGCTCGAGCGGCAGCTCCGACATTATGATGCCCACTTCCGACAGGTTGCCGTCGTCATCCAGCGCTGCAAGATAGTCCAAGTCTTCCAACGCCTGCATTAGAGCCTCAGGGGCTGGACGGGGGGAGGATGGAGGGGAAAAACATGACATGGACATGGAGGTGCTGATCCATACAGAAAAGGCATCACGCCTTTTCAACCTCCAACTACAGCGTTGTGAGGAAGATATAGATATGGCTACAGTGCACACATTCCTTATTTTGAGTGATAACTTGGTTGTGCTAATTACATACACTTATTTTCCTTCTATCTCCAAATCCTGAGAAAAGAAAAACGAAATAATATATACTACCCATCCATTGTAAGCTAATTTCTAATAATTTCAGACTTGAAAAAGGCTCTATCAGATTGTTTGATGCAACAGGTGGTTTGAATTTGGTTTTAATCTCAACTGCTAATTCATTCACATTTCTATCATTAAGTGGAAAAATGTTCTCTCTGACACAAGAGGATGACTCTTGTTCTATCCAGCAGACCCGTGGATGACATGCAGTTTGTGCCTTCACAATATCGTAGACAATCATTCATTGATAATAAGTTAAAAACGACTTAGTCCAGCTCGTAAAAGCTTTTCTTGACTTTATATTTGTGTATATTTACAATCTACAGTAGATATGTCTGAATTGACCATATCCTTATATTAAATTATACTCATTTGTTGATAGTAAAGTATATTTTAAAATGCTTATATATATATACTTGTTATAATGTTAAAGAATACTGACATTGTTAATAAAGTACTTTTCTATTCTATTCTAATGTATTCATCAAAAATCAAACGACTTAAACAGACAATCCACTGGCATTTTAATTAGTATAGAACTGTATCAATCAAAAGAAAATGACTTTATATCCAAAAGCACAATTTCTCTTCCCGTAGTAAAAAGTTGATTTAGGAACAAACAGGGTGAAAATGCATTTAGCGACTCTGCGGCGTAGAGATGGAAAATTCCTCTTGATATCAACTGTGCCCCGACTCCAGACACATTTAAAGTTAAACTGTAAACTACCGTTTTACCCTGCCTCTCTTTAATTGAATTGTATTGGATTGTTTTCCATTTTTCTTTGTTTTTAATCGTTTTTCTGTCCAATTTCACATTTGATCAAATAAAATAATAGATTTATTTAATGAGCTATAATTTATTTATAGATTTTAACAAAATTTAAACCAAAAAATATCTTGAAACACTGTATAAAAAAGCCTAAAGCTTAGATGCTGAACTCGTTGCTTAGCAGTGGGTCACATTATTCAAAGGTACCACTTGAACCAAGAGACAAATCTACTCATTCAAAATAAAAGGTTGTGCATTCTTTCTTTTGACTGGAAGACATTATGTCTTTTAAACTAAACTGATGCAAGGACATGTCTCTCAAGATAACTGCATTATTTGACAACAAATGAAAAATTTAATCATCTGTATTACACATTTATTGTACAGTACTGAGATTAACTAAGAGTTTACCTGGCCTGTCCAAGAACTTGCACTGTCCCATGTCAGCGATATCAAGTCTTTTCAGCAAAAGCACCAGATGGCTGAGGTTTTCCTCCATCACCCCTGGACAATGTCCCTCCACCATCCCTTCCTCATACAGCAATTGAGAATACAGGCGGATACAAAGTCCTAGCCAACAAAAAATAAAGAGCATAGATTGTATTAGAATACAATTTTATACACTTATGCTTTTTTTAAACCTTTATTTAGCCAGGTTAATTGATTGATAACAAATGAGAAACAAGGACCTGGCCATGAGACCGCAGAAAGGGCAAATTATACAAACGTGAATCATAATAACAACTAAAAAGTTAAATAAAAACCTTCATAAAATAGTTTGAAGAATGAAGAAATTCTTACATGCATTATGAAATACGTTCAAAAATGAAATCACAAGAATAAATCAGCAAGCACACCGATCCAAATCTATCATTTGTAATAAACTTAGAGGTTATAGGATGCTGGCACCTGATTAGGGGTGGCACACTAGAGAGAAATAGCCAAAGCATCTAGGCCCTTAGGGATTATCCTAACGATACTGTTACTGCAGTTCAAGTTTGTGGCTATTGTTGGAAATGTTAAGTACTAATGCAACAAGCTACAGGAGTGGAGTGTTGAGTTATAGAGTAGGAACTGATTACAATAATGAGAGCTAGAACCAGTAGCAAAACAGATGGCTTTATGATAGATGACATCCAGTTTAATCAATTTAAGGGAGGTGGCTTTATAGATTATTTCATTGCATCTCCCTGAAAGGCCATTTTGAACCACCCAAGAAAGATGTTGTGGTCTACAGTCAAAGGCTTCAAGTAAGGTTGATGAAGAAAATAGATAATTGTTGATTGAATTGTACGATGATGTTGTTGGAGAGATACTGTATGAGGGATACGATATTGTGCAAATTAAATTCTGCCACTTAAATATTCTTTTTGGGAGATCATCCTGCAAGTGAGTATGACTGAAATGAGTCCACAGATACTATCCTTAAGTTATCAGGATGGAGATTTTTAGCAGAAGTTACTGTCATTTTGAATAAACATCTGTATTTTCAGTCAGCAGATTCAGCTGTTTGCAATTGGTTAAAGTGTACATGAATTATTACTTAGTCTGAATGGGTTGATTTTCAGTCACAATTTCAAATGTATTTAGTTATTAAATTAAACAAATGGAAAAATATGTGGATAAAAACAGCTTCATTCAGAAATTGGTTGCATTCATATACATTAACAATGAACCCATTTTTGGCAACAGATTTTAGGAATTATAGAAAGTTGAGCCCCTCTATCAATGTAGTCTTACAGAGAGCGCATACATACTGAAGTGATTTGCTCCCCAACAGCATAATGTAGGTGTAATAGATGAGTTTTAATAAACTCAATTTTGTTGTTCACTCTGAAATTCTGGTTTAAGTGGAACTAACAGCAAATGAGAGAACCTTAGTTATTGCCCAATCAATTATGATGCATATTTTTTTATTTATTACCTATAAGAGAGGCAGTGAAGTCGATTAATCTAGAATTACTGAATAAACAGGCTTTAAGTGAAGCCAGTATCTGTGGTACAACATATAAACCGGTCACCGTGGTAACGGTGGCGACCTTTAATCTACCTGGAAGGTGGCTGTTTACCCTCTGACTTCGTATGTCCGCCTGATGTTTACTGATTGTCCTCAGGACCTGTGAGTTTGCTCTTATTTGTGGATTGTAAACCTGAAACAGAACATGAAGACAGTCATTCTAGTTTCAGCATTTTTTTTTGTAATACATATCTTTTAAATACATTTTGAAAACTAAAACTAGAAATGATGGAAATATCTTCTATAAAAAAGCTTGCAATTAATTTGTGCAGTACACCTTACACAAAGAACTACCATTAACACATGCCATTCAAGACTAGGAGCCAGAGCTGAGGAAAGAATTAATAATTATATTAAAGACAATATGGTTATGTTTTGGATATTTTGTCAAATATATACCCACAGTTTTGAGTTGAAGGCCTGTGTCTATGACATAGCGTATTGCTTGCAGGGAGAATGAAGCCTCTCCGAGAGTATCAGTGAGGAAAATCCTCCTTTTGACACCCGGACATTTGGTTCCGTCCACATCTTCGGAACTGTCATTCTTCACTGGTGTCGTGAAGTCGGGGTCGGATTCGTAAACTCGTTGGGTCTGACCGCCCATTCCCGAGTGCAGAGAGAAGAATCGTAGCGCTCCAAGCTGAGGACTCAGAGCTACACACTCCTTCTCCAGCAGAATCAGGCACTCTTCTATTTCCTATACAAGGCAGAAGAAATGATGTAGTCTCAGTTTTTATTTAGAAACATTTATCACATACGGTTTCATAAGATATATGATAGTTAGATATGGTAAAACTGATGAATATTCCATATCTTTATATGAGATTATAATAAAAAATGGTCAATGAAAGTGTGTGTGTCTGATGCATAGCAGATTAGCATTGCAGGCCTTGCTGAAAAACCTGGTCTCAGCTGGCAGAGTTTTGCTCTCAGACCAGGAAGTCTTTTGAGCAGAGGTGTGGACATAGACACCTAAAACTGACTAATTCAACTAATTTAGCTAAGTATGTCCAACACAGTTTAATTTTCATTGAACAAAAACTGTGTGTGTGAGAACATTAGACATAAGAAACCTGCAAACCACCCGAGGCCTCTCAGGTTAAGGGTTTCTTAGGTCATTCCTTTGCATGACAAAGATGGTGAAACTCTACTGCCAACTGCATTGTGGAGACTGGTTTGGGAAGTTTCTCCTTTGTCAAATCATACAAAACATATTGAGAATATATGCACCACAAAACAGAGGACTGCGCAGGTCAAATAACAACACACACCAGTCTCAGTGCAGCTGGAATGGTCCTGCTTTGCATGCACATATCAAGTTAACATCACAGAACACTGAATCTTAATAAAAGTGGCTGATATCATTCAGCTGATTCAACAACACCAGTTCTGGCTTCATGCATGTGACCAGTCTGGGTTATTGAGCTTAGTGGCTTTGATGTGGCTTGTGTGAATTCAGGGTGGAAGAAGTTAATGAGGAGGAACTTCTTTTGCTTGTAAAATTCAGCGAATGAATGGCAGAAGCCATAGAAGAGTAGGGTCAACCATTGTCACCATTTCTTCACTCACAAATGTTTGTTTTTTTCTTTTGTTAATTCTGTATCAAGGATAAATTGAATTTTTAACCTTTTATGAGATACTTTCTTCCTCTTTGTGCGTGTTGCACCAACATACCCAACCCTCTTAATGGGTTGTAGTTCAATTTGGAAAATAAGTTCCATTTGACATAATTATTCAGCATTTTATAGATAAGTTTGAACCCCAACAGGTAGGAGAAAGATTCAGATTTTGCAATTACTATTTATCAGGAAAAAAACATTCAATTGCTCTTTTAATCTCATTGTGGAGTGCCATTTATGTGATGACAGGCAAAATAAGGTAAGAAATATAAAATAAGAAATATTTTAAGAGGTAGCAGTAAATTTTGTTCTATGCTGTTTTCATAAGTCTTTCAGATCTCGTCCCTGTCTTCTGGAACATTTTAGATCAATTTCTCTGCTCAACAGTTTAAAAGCTGTGTTTTTTTGTTTTCTGGTCGTTAAAGTTATCATTTTTGGGAAGGAGAAAGATAAATTATCCCTTAAGCAAATAGGGATAATTTTCCAAATATTTTGGTTCACTCGGTTATTAACAGTCATTTGAATAGCATATTGTAGAATTAGTCAAATTTTACCTGCCCACTGGCCAGAAAAACCATTACATCTCCCTCTTCTCCTCTTCGGTGCAAATCCAACACAATGTGACAGGCGGCGGCCATGGGTTCCTTCCCTGATAAAAGCTCCCGGTACAGAATCTCTGTCTTCTGCATGTCGGCACCAGCCCCATCAATCATTTCCTTATGTGTGGAAGGGGCCTCAGTCAACGGGCCGTTTATGGACAGAGAAGGGATGGAGGGTCCCAAGAAATCCGAGAGGCGGGGCGCGAGGGTGGGGTGAGTGAGGAGAACCACTCGGAAGTTGTCGGGCCTTTGGCGGCAGACGTCACACAGCAGGCCCAGCAAGACGTCGGTGGAAACCGTGCGCTCCTGTATCTCATCCAAGATCACGATGCCATACTGATGTAGCAGGGGGTCCGACATCATTTCCCCGAGCAGCAAAGTGTCGCTGACAAACCTGAGGAAAGGGCAGTGAAATCAGACGCAAACACACATCTCTTACCCAGATGTCCTGAACTTGTCTATTTGAATTTTAAGTTTGAATAAAAGGACAAATTATCAAGCAACAGAGTCAATGAAGAAAGTGTTTTTTTTTACCTAGTTATCTGGCAGGCCAGAAAAAAAGACGATGGAAGAATATCCCTCATCTAATCTCCTACGGTAAGATTTTTTAAGACCAAGGTATCAAAATAGACCTTTAGACTGACACTTTGATCATGAGATTAAGAATTTCATCATCAAGCTTTATTCACTGCAGAACTGAGTCTGTTTTAATGATTAAAGAAAACCATTTAGTTGGTGAAACAAGAATTAGTATTATCCTATTCTGTGGCCAATCACATCATGATTTTGGACTGGATCTTTGAAGATCCAATCGATGGTATTTGCTGTAATTTGGCAGAATGGAAAAATACATTTGAATGAAAATGTAGTCCAGTGTTCATCATTAATGCTTTCTAACCTGAGCAAAGTATCTGGTGTGCAGCTGTCATCGTGAGATACCCTGTAGCCCACCTCCAAGCCCAAGCTGAGGTCCATCTCGTCAGCCACACGGAGAGCCAAACTCACTGCTGCTTCAGAGTAAGGCTGTGAGCAGCATACTAGGCCATGAGAAAATTCATAGGATAACGCAAATTCCACGCACCACTGTGGCACCTGCAGTGTGGACAGGAGATTTAGGTCATTAAGATATGCAAAGAAGTCATATAAAGTCATGGTTATAAATGAGTACACGCATAGACCTTAAAACTGTCAGGTTATTTCCCACTTAGATGCAACATAACTGTATAATTTTTGCTTTAATATATTGTATTCAACAACAAGGATAGAAACAGATATATATTATCATTTATTTTCTGTAAAGTTTTCATGTCCACTATGTTAGCACATGCTACCAAGATAGCACAGGAATCGTGCTTATATTTATCTGATGTACCTTATTTAATTATTTTAGTTAAAAAGGAAAATGCCTGTTTATGTGGTTAATGCAGAACAGTGTTCGGCTAGGAATCTGTATGGCTGTGGCGCAGGAGGATGAGCAGTCATCTAGGCATCCATTGTTGTATGAATATGTGTGAAAGAGGATTAAGGCATTAAAGCTGTCAGTGAATGTGGCATGTAATGTAAACCCACTCAGCTAAGGTAGAAAAACACAATATTAGCAAATGATTATAGGCTCTTTTTGTTTGTGTTTTTTTCCTATGATCTCTTGTAAATGGGACATGGCACAATGAATGACCACCTAGAAAGTAGTAAACCTACATTCTTTAGTTAGTTACTAACAGAGCTAGGCCCCAGAGTCCCATGTCCAGCCTGCTTAATTTATAGGCCAATTGTACTTGTCCAATAAAGAGGAAGCACACCATTATGTAACAAAACTTCACTTGAAATGAGAAATGCTTAAATGCTCAAAGTAATACACCTGCACTTTGTTAAGAGGAACCCAGACTAGAAACACATACTGAACTACAGGTTTAATATGGCACATATTCATGAAAGCATTTCATTGCTGAAAACAAAAAAGAACCCTAAAATGGTATTTGGCTAAATATTTTGTCAGATAAAACCAGTGCTGTGTGTGTAACATGAAATCTTAAAGAATTTAACGCTAATTTGTCTAGACAGAATTTGTGCCGGTATCGTAACCTGAAGAAAGAAGTAATCATTTACTTGTGTTCTAAACAGGTCGCATGGAATTGATCATTGTAAATTTAAACTGAAGGCCACAATAAACAGCTCATCTAAAAAACACTGACTGAAATATATACCACATAAATGGGAATCAAGTCTAAGACTACATATTTAAAAAATACGGCTAAATTATGTTTAATACCATATCCAGATTGCTATATAATTAGAGCTGTTCAAATACTTTAAGTTTATTCTGGGATAGATTTGTATTCCACATAGGATTTTGAGCAATAAATGTACCTTCCATATACCATTAATGGAGATTAAAGAGGGCAGAAAGACAACTATATAAAAATAGCTGGTAAATTATTCTTTTTTTTTTAAAAGAATGAGGACGTCTGTTTGATATTATCACTGTCTTCTGTTCAGTTTGATGTGAATAAATCTAGTTTATTCTATACCGATACATTATTATTTTCATTATGGGTTTATTATTCTGATTACCTGAGTGCTTTTTCCAGCTCGACAATGTGTTTTATGTCAATACTGACTTGTGTTTAGTTTGATGTGAATAAATCTAGCTAATTCTGTACCGATACGTTATCGTTTTAGTTATTACTTTCTGATTACCTGAGTGCTTTTTCCAGCTCCACTAGGTCCACTCAGCAGCAGCATGTTATGGCTCTCCAGATGCTCCAGAAGACTCTGTCTGAGCTTCCAAACAGGGAGCTGTCGCCTCTCTTCCAGAAGGGTATAGTACCGTGAGGAAAAAGGCAAACCATCATATGGGTTCACCTCCAAATCTCCCAGTCCTTCCTGCTCCCCATCTCCCTCTCCTCCTTCTCCTTCATCGTCCAGATCCCCAGACAGGAGAGAGGATATGGACAAATTATCCAGAGCTTTGCAAGGAGGTGGCTGGGATTTGGAGCCGGGCGACACGATGGATGACTTTGCGGGAGGTGATGACATCATCACCGAGGACGGGGTGGGTTGCTTTGCAGAGTTTATCTGCAAAAAAAAAAGCAATGATTCAGGTCACATGCTGGAGAGTGACTGACTGAACAAAACGAGAGTCATCACGGGTTTGGAATGTGCAGGACTCAAGGACAAAAGTACCCTTTTTCTCCAGAATATTTCTTCAATTCCCTCCAAGGCTTTTAGAGGATGAATCATGCTTCACAAATAGTGCTCTGATGAGTTTCAACTTCAGTTTCAACTTCACTGGTTTACAGCTAGTTGTTTGAAATTAGAATAAATTCTTCAACCTTTGTTTTAATGTCAGAACTGAGTCATTTGTATCTGCCCAATATAACCTGCTATTCAGGGAGCTAAAAGTTCCTCCAGATGCACACATTTCACAGAAAGTCCAAACTAAGCTCTTGAATTATTCCCTAACTAAAAGAAAACACATTTTCCTTTCAAGGGATCACAAATTATTGTTGAGATGAATTCATGCCCCACCCTTCTCTGACTGAGTATAGGTGGAGGTGTTGCCCAATATGGAGACATCAGGTGAAGATAATCAAATTAGATGGGAATTGTGAGCCAAAAATTGTTTTGAAGTGTGGAAAGATGATAGATAAACTTATGGTACATTCAGATTGAAATGTTAAAATGTTATGAAATGTTAAAAAAGGATTGATTTGAAATGTGTTTAAGAAAAAGTAAATAAATACTAGAATGTAACAATGAAAACTGAATAATACTGAAAATATGTTTCCATTTTGGGTGCTTAAATCTTGTGGTATAATTTCTTTCAGGGATCATTTTTGGTTATTTAAAGGGTGTTAATCATTGTTTTCTGTGTGTTTGTGTTTAAAGGTTTTTCATCTACTATTGTTGATTCAACAACACTGAAATAAAGAGAAAAAAAAAATCAATTTTGGGGTTTTGAGTGAAATCCTGTGGAATATCTGAAAGAAAGCTGCCTTTTAAAGTGGGGGAAAACCTGCAGTTTGAAATACACCGTTGGTATAAAATAACCAGTCTATGTAAGCACTGGAATGGACAAATGAACAACACAATGGTTGAGAAGCTTGTGGACCCTCCATAGCTTGATTTACAGAAGTATACTGAAAAGCAGACTTGTTAGAACGCTTGTTAGAAAAAAGGAAACACTGCCTGACAATACACTACCGTACAAACATTATTACAATCTGAAAGGTAACTGACTTTGTAAAGCAAAAATGACCCCTTATCCATAAAGGTAGTTTATTCTTCTTCGTTGATAGAGAAGCTCAAGAATGCCAAATCCATTTTTCCTATGCTATCCAATCTGACGAAGGAGTTGTTCAACTTAGTGTTTTCTTTTAACTTTCAGTACATATGAATTAATTAGGTACCTCTGGGGATTTAACAACGGACCTACTGATATAGATACTTCAACTAAACGATCGAGGAGCCAATAGCAGTGATTTAAAAAGACATCAATCCATGAACTAAGGATGGATAGGATGCTCTTGAACTGTTATGACCCTGGGGTGCCAATAGATGTTTGGGAGGGTGAGTGGAAGTGTTTTTTTTAGGTGGATGGAGGGCATGGCTGCCACCTGCACAACTCACCTGGGAAGAATGACGTCATTTGGGTTCTGGTGATTCAAGGGAGCTGCAGGACAGGTCATTCATCGCCTGATGCTGCAACTATCTATTTCAAACTATCATTGAAAGTTGTTGGCGTTCAAGGCAAAATGCTTCTAACTCATTTTGTTTCATATAACCGCTCATATACAAATAAAAACACACGCCCCATAAACACAACAAGAAATATCCATCCGCATCCCTACCTGTGCCCTGGCCATTTCCTCCGTACCTGCTACCATTTGCTCCTAAATAAACCTTAAACTGCATTCCTGGAGTTGACTTCATTTCTTCTGACAGAGGGAGATTCGGTTGATAAACAATCTCCAACTAGCGCATGTTAGACAAACTGAATGGGTTTGTCACAGTGTCAGTTTTGGTAGGCTAGGAACTATTTTTAGCAAATACAGAACGGTGAATATCATTAGTGTCAGTGTTGATAATACGAACAGTAGGTTTTACTATGACAACAAAACAGACCGCCTGTATTTTTAGCTGTATATTTAAAATGACTGTGTGGTACTTAATTGTGAAATAACTCCACATCTCCAAAATGCGAGCTAATGCTATCACCCGCTAAACGAAGGTTTTTGAGCTCGCTTATGTCAACCTTATTTAAACAAATGGCTTCACTCGCGTTCATTTAAGTTCTGCCAGGAGGGTCAACTGACAACAATACGAGCTATCTTTGGAATAAAAATAGAAAAAAGAAGGAAAAAAACACGGACGGTACCAAAAGTACGATATGAGGCAGGGAGTGTGTCTTACCTGAGACATGGGAGTGTGCAGGTGAGGTCCCCTAGTCCAAACGACCTGCCTAAAGTCCTCTGTAGTGTCAGTTCACTTTCAGGCTGTAATTCGCTTTCACTCACAAGCTTCATGGACATGGGAGACACCAGAAAAACGTCCAGCAAAGGCGAAAGAAGTACGGTCGTTCACCGTCCCTTTAGGCAAATTCTTTGTAGTCCAGGTCATTTAATGACTGCTGAAAGATAATAAAAATTGAAGATGTTGACGGCTTGTACTGGCTAGCAGCCGCCATGTTTTGTTGTTCAGCTGTCAAGTCCCGTGCTGCGTTCAAGTGTCCTCCCAGTGTGGTTTGAAATCTAAGCGCTGCCAGCTTGGCGCAGCAAAAACTTGCCATAACACGCTCAAGAAGAATTTTCTTTAGGTAATGAGAGAAAAAAAGCAGGAGTATTCAATGTCAACATGAAATCTCTCTGTTTTGTTTTTTTCTTTCAATTCTGTGATTTTAAGTTTTACTTTTTAATCTTATTTGTGAGAAAATAAATTATTCCGAATAGGCCAAAAAAAAAAAATCCGGTCAATAGCAGCATAAATTCAGGTCCAGACTTTTTATTTTATTTTATTTTTTACCAAAGGAACAGTTACAATAAGGTATTTATTTGAACATTTTAGAAAGATACTTCTATTATCAGCATCAGTCATTGGAAGCTCAGTGACCGAGCCTTTATTAAGCTTCAGTTAAACATCATATACTCATTTTGTGGAAATACTATAACACAGATAGAAATATATTCATCATATGGTAACAACTATCCATCATTCAACATTCAGATATCGTTTTAGCCTAAAACAATATTTGACTCTGCTTACTTACTTTTACCCCTATATAAATGTATTTAACCACTCACATTTCAGCTATTTGTTACCTGGGTCTGCATGAAGGGCCTTCACAATCACTTGTAGTATTAAAATATGTATAGATGAGACTGTTGCTTCAACCAGTCAGACTTTGAGGTGGCGACACCAAAGCCCTCTAGCAGGCTTATGGGGACACCAGCGTATTCCCACCTTTTGACTGGACAGCCTGAGAGAATACTAGCTGGAGCTAGCAAATTGAATCTTTAGAGAACTGCAAGAGCAAACGATAGATCTGTTGGTTTAAAAGTTGTCAGTCCACAATGGCTGGAGGAGAAGAAATGGATTTGGTGGCAGATTTATTGTCAAAGCCATTTTTAAGACAGAATTTTCAAGAAAAGCTGGACATCATTAAGAAAGGTTGTCCAACCCCAAAGCCTGCAGGGCTGCCACATGGCGGAAAAGGATTTGTTTGACACACTCAGTTCACCAACTATGAGTGGTACCCCTGGCTCAGGCTCCGAGAAACAGTAAGGCGATGACCATCCCGGGGTCCACTGCTTCTCTCAAGTGGACATTGTCAGTGATAATTCAGTAAGTGAATCAATTTATGGCAGACATACAACGGTAATCTACTTTCAGTATTCAGCACGGTGGTAGAAAAGGAATTTTTGATGGAACTGAAACACAAATATAATCTGTAGAGCAGTAACTGAACTCTTGAGTAAAGAAAGCAGGATGGATGTTGTGTAAAAATAAAATTTTGCGTAAAATGTTACCATTTTCCAAAATATAATTTTCTGCATAATAAGATGTTTTGATAGCCATAAAATGGTTGAGGAGTGAATTCCTTTAGGCACCACTGAAGGCCTGGGTGTTAAAGGCACAGCCCGCCATTGGATTTATGTTGCAAGTAATTAATTGCATTTAATACCAGCATTCAAATATATCAAGTTATTCATTCATGTTTTTGCCTTCATTTTAAAAGGAAATTTAATCATGGTTGATGGAAGGTCAGAAAATTTAACTAGTGTTATTTAGTTTTAATTTCACTGATTTTCTTTTTTCTGGCTTACCAATGACAAATTGGTTTGCTAGTTTTGCCCTTATTGACACATAGCTGGACACATACACAACTTTTATATGCACTTTCTTTGCTCTTTGTGTAAGCATTAAGCTTGAAGGGAAACAAATTACCGCCCTGCGATGGACTGGCGGACTGTCCAGGGTGTACCCTGCCTCTCGCCCGTTGACCACTGGGATAGGCTCCAGTTCCCCCCGCGACCCCATCAGGGAATAAGCGGTATTGATAATGGATGGATGGAAACAAATTACCATGAAGAGTTTCACGTTCACTTTCCTGTGCTATCTTAGGTGTTTTGTACTCAACCTTTTAAAAATATATATATGTGGCTTCTTAATATATTTCCATATTCTAGTATGCAAACCAAGCATTTCCTTACAAATTACGATGTAAATTAGGATGTATTATTCAACTGTGAATAACAACCTGTTGGAGATGTATGATGTGCTGCCATTTTTAGAAATATTAGTCATCAAAATGAATACAAAATTAATCAAAACTTTAATTCAATCAACAAATACATATATCTTTAGATTATATAAAACAGACTATCAGCCTTCCTTACTTTCTCACAACAGCTTGAGAAAGTGAACATGTAAAGAGCTTGACTTTACTCTCAATCATATCTTAACTTTTTGGTAACACTGATATCTGATTATGGTGTTACAGTACAGATTAAAAAAACAAATCATTTCCCAATAAAGACAGTGCCCAATAAAGAGGCCAAATATTTATAATAAAGACTGCAAATTTTAGAATAAGATTCTAGTGGATCAGTACTCGTTATAGACATTAAACATTTTAAAGATGTTGGAAGTGGAATCAATTGTAATAAATGCCTTTGTTATTCCTGACTTTGCTCACATGGCAGATGCATTCTTTCAGTCTGTCTGCCCAATCTTGGCTCCACTTAAGGGTCTTTTCCAAGTTCTGGTAACGAGTAGGAAGTTTATCCAATGCCTGAACTGGCTCGGGCAAATCAAAGGGCAGGCCTGCCTTCAGAACTGTTGCCTGGAACTTGGCTGGAGATGCTGTTGCAATGTAACACCTGCAAAGAGATTTGAACAATTATGTAGAGAGCAGGGCATGCAAATACAAAGTCTAAAGAAGTTTAGAACTCATTCAGCTTAGTAGGCACTTTACTTTAGGGCACATAGTATCAAAATCTTCCAATGTTTCCTGGACATGTAGATAGAAACGGCACAACTTTCAAAAAGAGGTCTGGATATTTTCATTCATGTTAATCCTAACATCTTGAATAATGGCAACTTGACTTCTTCTTGGATTTCTGGCTTTATACTTATATTATTAAACTTTTTTTAAGGCCTTTTGGATGACCTTTAAGATCCAGGAATACATCCCATTTCCATTATTTAACCACTTGATATTGCTTAATTGATTGAATTATTCATTCTTAAATCTCTAGGGATAACTAATTATACACTCAAAATGATGTAATTAACTTTAACTTTCGTAAAACCTGCTGACATTTTTTATTCAGTATATCATGTGCCTGTTTCAAGAGGTTAACTCAGTATGTTTGACCTGTTCAGACTGGGGCTGTGAGGGCAGTTGTAGTGATGCCATACTGCCACGGCTGTGTGTGGACACAACACGTATTGGTTCTCCTTCCAGCACCTCCTCATGGTCTCCAAGATTCCCTCATCATTCACGGTGCCAGACGTTAGAGTTTCTGCCAGCTGAAAGCAAAACAGGAAGTGGTAAGTCCATTTAGTTGGTAGATGGTTGATGACTGTAAAACATTTTTGTTGTTACCAGTTTGCAGAGGTTTTCAGGCAGCTCATGTCTACGTGAAGACTGAAACGTCTCCATCATAGTCTTCACTGTAGCACCATCTCTGCCCAGCAGAAGCCAGAACACTCGCTCCATGTTGTACGGGTCCTGCACACCAGAAATAAGGCAAATCCATCAAACAGCAGATCCTGAAATAGGAGGCTTATGTCATCAAATGTTATGGTTCAGCCATTTTGTAAACTTTTTTTAGTCTTGCTGACCACTCAAAGCGCTTTACACTAAATGCCACATTCAATCACAACATGTCTTAGTCTATAATTTAATTTTTAATTTAATCTAATCTAATAATCTTATCATACATATTCATACACATGTTGATAGGCAAAAAAGGGTTCAGTGCCTTTCCCAAAGACACTTAAAAATGTGGACTATGAAGGCTGGGAGTGAAAAACACAGCTTTAAAAACTGACAAGTAATGATTAGTCTTCAGATAATAGCTTTAAGTAACAGAGCATGTTAAAAGAAGAAAAAATCTTCAGTGTTCAGAGAAAGCACTCTACGTTTACAATGGGCTGTGTACCTGAATATCTATAGCAGGGGCCAGAGTTTGTGTGACATTAGGCGCCATGGAAAAGTCACCTGTGGTTACCGTCCGGTGAACTATATCATTCGAATTCACCATGGCAACCAGCTTCAAGGGCAATCCCATCTGTTTAACGATACATCCAGCTAAGATGGAGAAAGACGGAAACAGAAAGAGGGTCAGTTGAATCAGACATTTTTTTTCTTTTAATAAAAAAAAAGTATAAATGGAATTTAATTGACCAAACACTTAAATAAGCTAAAGCTTAATCTAAGCATATCTTAGGTGCTTGATACAGCTGCCCCAGCTAGAGGCTCCTTTTCTAACCCTAACCTTTTCATTCCAACCACACCATCGTCAAGAAGCTTTCAAAAAGGCTGCTAATGTCTTCAAAGACCTTTCATACAACCACTGTCAGTGATTAGAAAGAAGATATTTGCTGCATGAGGTTTTGCTGCAAGAATCCTTTTAGTTTGTGAATAAATAACTAGCCAAGTGATCAATACTCAGAAGAGCAGAACTGTTATTATCATATAAAAATTATATAATGGACGTATGCATTAAGCATCATCTTATTCCAATTCTGCCCCTGGTTACACTGTTTCCTGAATGGAGACTCAGGAAAAAAATTAACTCCACAGAATTCAAAAGACAAACAAGAATCCTACTGTTATAAATAACAAATGACTGAATAAGTGAATTAATGAATGACTGAGAGTTTATAAAAATTCTCAGCATGGATCTGGGGTAGAGCCTGTCTGAAATGAATAAATCCATTCACCGACCTGCAATGTTTCCCGCCCCCCCGGTGGGAACCACGACCTCCAGCTCTGGCAGGGCGCCGCCATCCTCAGCCTGCTCTATACCGCTGAGTTTCAGGTAAGCGTATATGAAGTGGGCGAGCTGGATCATGACCCTGGACCAGTTGACAGAGTTCAGGCTCATGAGGGTGTGGGACCTCACCAGCTCCTGGTCGGAAAAGAGATGGCGGAGGGGCTGATCTATGTCATCTGAGCTGCCGTCCGCTGCAAAGGGGAACAAAAACATCATGTTCACTTTGATTAACCTCCTGAGCTTAACACTGGGTTTTTATTTGGTGTGCATTTTAACTTCTTTCAAGATATATGGGATAAGTAGGACATTATAAGTTTAATAACTACACTCTGCCATGGTGCAGGTAGTTTTTCTTCATATAGGGTCAGTGGGTTTATCTTTATATTTAAAATGTTTGTATATATGTAATGATTTTTTTTTTGCAATTTGGTTCTGACAATCCAATTTACTTACTTACAACATTTTAATCAACAATAAGAACATGATTGGTTAAAAATGTATAAAACCATATTAATTTATATTTCTAACAGTAGTGTCTGATAGTGTCTGCTATGAGGTAAAGAGGTCAAAGTCCAAATGCAATTTCCTCAGATGAGGATGCAGGCTCTCAGGAGGTTAGGAAAAAAAAAATTATGTTTAGAGAACAGTCCCTAAAGGTGTACCTGCAAACACATGGACATTATCCTCCAGGCAGGTGATCATGTGCTTCTCTTGCACCGGAGTGATGCGTCCTCGGGGATAAACCACTATCACATCCAAACCAGGTAGACCTTTTGCACTCTGGATGGCTGAGCCACCTGTGTCCCCAGATGTACCTGTGCAAAGATCGGGGGAAAAAAGCATGTTTGCTTTTCATCTATAAGTTAAAACACTCTTTATTACCCATTAGGTCAACAATCATCACTAGGCAATAATGACATGTGGAAACATTTGTTTGTGTATAAGATGAGATATCCGAGGAATATATATTATATTATTATATTTTGGGATATTTGTCTCACAAAAGGGAATTTTGAAGTGTTTACAGATATTTTTGTCATACATGTCATGGTATAACCTTTAGTTTTTCTCAAAACCTACCAGTAGTTTCAAAACTAATTTAAAGAAAATTGTCTATCTACACAAGTTATAAGGTCACAGCAATCTATATTGACCATATGAAATAAGTCAAAGACTGAGAAACATTTAGGTTTTAAAACTTGTTAATATTCAACTAAGTTTTATTCAATTAAGTTTTTGATCACGCAATAAAATTCGACTAGTTCCGAGAAGGTAAATCATGGTTTTGACTCAAAACGGACCAAATATATTTGGTTTGTTGTAATAATCTTAGTATATTTAATATGCAGCAAACTTCAAAGACACTTCAATCAGTAACATCAACCTCCTACTAGATTCCTAGTGTAGGTTCATATGTACTGCAGCATGGATGGATCCGGTTAAAAATTCTAAATCAAATGCTACATGCTGCCTACTGTACAAGTTGTTGGGGCAGGGTTAAAGTCTGTGCTTGCTTCTGTCTTTAAGGACAATATAATAATAAGCAGTGTAGATTTCACATTATGTACCAAACGCAACAAAGGCCAACAAAGCCAGTGTGAATAAGAATATTCTAACATTCCTGCCGACAAGAACTGTAGCTCTGCCGTCCTCTTTTCGTAGAAAGTAATTGAGAAAGTGTACTGTACAGGTCATAGCCAAGTCCTTAAAAGCCAAAGTATCTCCATGGAAGAGCTCCAAGATGGACAGACCTTCTTTGAGTCGGGCTATTCTGATTACGTCTGGCACAGAGAAGCCAGAGAAGGCTTTATCTACAAGGTCTAGCAGATGGAAAAACAGATTAAAATACTTGGTAATTATTGTTCAATAAATTGTGATGCATCGGGTAAAACAGTAGCTGAAATTCTAAACATTACAATAGGATTTTTTTGGGGTCTGCCAATAAGGAAAACATAGTTGTAATGACTTTGAGATCACTATCAAGGTAAATATTTCTGATCTTACCCTCCAGGTCGTCTCTGGGCATAAGCTGAGCAGGGATAAAAAGTGATGCCACCTCCACCACTACCTTGGTGTAGGTCAACCCCCTCCAGGATCGAAGGACGTCAGGGCCCAGCACAGGCAGCGTTTCTGGCATGAACATGCCTCCATCTGGAGCGTACCCGGAGAAGAGCACGTTCCTAAAGTCCCAGCCATGGACCCCGCCACGAGTACTGCAGTACCGCACCATGATAACCTGTGAACAAGTCGTTCCAACAGATTTGACACGTATTAGCATTGTTTTTCTGCAAAACCAACTTTTAAAGTCAAGTTTCCCCTTCATTTCTCAAAGAGACATGAGCCAAGCTCATATTTCTATCACCGGTTAATTCAGTATCAGAAATAATGCTAACAGACAAAGGCCTGAATTATCAAAAAGGCAGAGTGGAAAGGAAAATAAAGACTTTTTTTTCTTAAAACATACATAGCAGTTGAGCTTTTGCTATTTTTGTCCGGGTCATTTATTAGCAGATTATTTTTTGTTGTTTTATGTCACAGTTATATGATCTGATCCATTGTCTTTTTCATTAAATTTCCCATGGTGGATTTCTGCTTGGCTATTATGCTAAATTGCCAGTCAATTTTGTGGACTACTGTGGATTATCAAATAGAAATCTAATTGATAAAAAAACAAACAATTCAATTTAACATTTGTTAGGTTGTCATTGGCCTGTTTTTAAAACGGCAGGTTTTTAAGGATTTCATTGCTGTTTTTTTTTACATTGAACAAAGTATCCAATATAGGGCATGGAGGACAAAATCCATTTGAAATCTAAAAGGGAATCACGATTGTCATATCAGCTAAGTCAGCATGATAAAATAACACGAGTATAATACTTACTGAGTACTTACTGTTTTTATTACAGAATCTTTAAATAAATACTCTCCTCTTCAGCTATGCATAAGACAAACAGTCGTATAGTTACAGAAATCTTGGACTGTCTTTGACGTCTTCTTGAAGATGTTTTCTGTGCCAATATGTAATGAATTACTGAAAAAAGACAGAAAGTGCCAGAGACAATAAAAGCTGAACTTTGAAACAACTACCATAATCATTTCTCGCTTATCTTAGGAAGGAGACTAACCTGACTTGTCTTAGAAATGTCAAATACTTCACTTTTCTTTACATGTAATGTACTGTTCCAGTCAAAAGACTGGACACGCTTTCCCATATATATTGAATAGTAGGACGCATCAAAACTTTTGATTTAGTGTACAAGGCATTGTATTTGATAAATTGCATTATTTGAGCAGACATACATAATTGGGCCCCATCATACCATGCCAAAGAGGACTTTATGAATTAAACTGTGTTACCGGCTTTAATCCCCTTTCTGCATTGTTACTCGAGTGTAAAACACAGGTGATTTGTAGTATTTAAAGTTTTATGCACTCAAGATGAACTGTTGATGTCATTGTTGTGAATTTCTAATTAAAGATATGAGAAATTATGACAGTAGAAAATTAAAACCGGAAGTGAAATCATTTCAATAAAACAAAGTGTCTATGAATAATCCAACAGTTTAAAATCAAACCTTTGAAACAGCATTGTTTATTGTTATATCCTAATTATGTTAATGTCTGGAACAGAAACATTATCATCCCTACATATTTTCCTTTTAAAAAATAATCTTTAACCATATACCAACTAAAACCTTTTATATAAAGATACTTTCTTAATCAAGTTCTTTCTGATGCTAAATTAGATTAAATCAGTGCAGTTGAAACAACTGTTGAGGGTTGAATATTAGCTGACAATGTATTTTTCAAACCAGTTTTGTCGGTATAAGTTTTTAAGCCACGACTACAACAGATACCCATACTTGACACCGATTGTCTAACGATTTTATAAAATGTAAACCTTTAAAAAATTGTTTTGAAAAATTTTAGTGTACATATAACGTTTCATTTTCAGGATATCGAAGGACCTGGGAACACTTAGAACGAATCGTAAGACATTAGACATCAGGCCGAATTCCCATTTATTTATGTAAATTTATGTCAGCTTGCCTCGGTTGGTGAGCTTGCAAATATTTAAAGCTTCTGTTCGGCGTCGAACACAAAAATAAACATCTCTAAGTACATTCCTTAAGTGTAGCCATTAGTGACCGCTGCAGTGACCAAGATGGTGGACCAAACGGAAAGAAGTAAACAACCGATAGTGCTCCGGCAGAGAAACAGTAACATCAGTTCGCAATACTTTGTATGTGTTGGGTCGGGTAAATATGTATACCATAATTTTTAAAATAATAAATAAATAAATAAACAAAATAAAATAAATGAAAAATATATATATATATTTTAGAAATATCTATCTATCTATCTATCTATCTATCTATCTATCTATCTATCTAT